CCATCTCCCAGGTTCAAGCAATTCTTGTGCCTCAGCCTTCTCAGTAGATGGGATTCCAAGTGCACACCACCACACCCAACTAATTTTTGTGTTTTTAGTAGAGACAATGTTTTGCTATGTTGGCCATGCTGGTCTCAAACTCCTGAGCTTTAAGCGATCTGCTTGCTTCAGCCCCTGAGAGTGCTGGGATTACATGTGTGTGCCATAATGCCTAATTTTTGTATTTTTTAAATAGAGATTGGGTTTTGACATGTTGACCAGGCTGGTCTTGAACTCTTGACCTCAAGTGATGTGCCTGCCTTAGCCTCCCAAAGTGCTGGGATTACAGGCATGAGCTGCTGCGTGTGGCCAATTTTTTAAATGTCAGTTTCAAGCTCGGAGTCATAAACTAGGTTGAGCACAATGTTTTCTATCTTATTTTCCTTTGATTTTCCCCAGTGGCCTATACCTTTTAACATAAATATTTTTTTATAGGGATTCTTGCTCTGTCATCACCTAGCTAGGCTGGAGTACAGTGGTTCAATATCAGCTCACTGCAACCTCCGCCTCCCGGGCTTTTGTGCTTCTCCTGCTTCAGCCTCACCAATAGCTGGGATTACAGGCACCTACCTCCATGCCTGGCTGATTTGTGTATTTTCAGTAGAGACAGGGTTTCTCCATGTTGGCCAGACTGGTCTCGAATTCCTGCCCACCTCGGCCTCCCAAAGTACTGGGATTACAGGCGTGAGCCACCATGCCCGGCCTAAGTTTTTTGTTGTTTGTTTGTGTTGGTGCTGTGACTCGGATAGGAACCTAAGTATTTTATAAAAATTCATAGAATATTCAATTTTTTTATAACATTTGTAAATATATACAGTGTGTTTCAATAGTATTTAAGACTACTTAATGCTTTCTTACAGAGAAGAAGAAGTTGGATGGGATACAGAGATTAAGGATGATGTGATTGAAGAATGTAATAAACATGGGGGAGTTATTCATATTTATGTTGACAAAAATTCAGCTCAGGTATTTTTATATTTTTTATAAATGATAGGTTGTTCCTCTTCACCTTAATCTTGACACATATGTAGAACATGTTTGGTCACTGTGTTCCATTATAGTAGTTTTTTTGTGTATGTGCCTGCAAGTAGCTTTGGCTAATAAACCCTCCAAAATAAAAGAAAATCAGTAACAATTTGATCAGGGTATCGGAGAAGTTTCTAGTACTGTTCAAAGCTTGATGTGAAATCTTAGCATCTTTATTTATTCTTAGGCTGCATACAAATTATAGAGAAAAGATAGAACAGGCAAGTTCGGTAATATAAGTCATTTTTCAGTTAAATTCTGTATATACTTACTAGCCAGTGGAACAATTATCATAAACCATTTTGTGGTTATAGAGTACTAAGTTTCTACAATCCACTTGAATAAACTTATCTTGGTCCATTTTGCATACAGCAACATTTTACCTTTTTTGCTTTTCTGTGTTTTAGGGCAATGTGTATGTGAAGTGCCCGTCAATTGCTGCAGCTATTGCTGCTGTCAATGCATTGCATGGCAGGTGGTTTGCTGGTGAGTTTCAATTAATTTTTTTCAGTTGTTATTAAGGCTCTAAAACGAAGATGATAAACCGAACATGTCTGTTTCTTTCAACAGGTAAAATGATAACGGCAGCATATGTACCTCTTCCAACTTACCACAACCTGTTTCCTGATTCTATGACAGCAACACAACTACTGGTTCCAAGTAGACGATGAAGGAAGATAAAGTCTCTTATGTATATAGCTTTTTTTCTTTCTTGAGAATTCATCTTGAGTTATCTTTTATTTAGATAAAAATAAAGAGGCAAGGATCTACTGTCATTTGTATACAAATCCTGTTACCTTGAAAAAATAAAAATGTTAACAGGAATGCAGTGTGCTCATTCTCCCTAAATAGCAAATCCCACTGTATACAAAACAGTTCTTTTGTTCTGCCTTTTAAAATGTTCATGTAGAAAATTAATGAACCATAGGAATAGCTCTAGGAGAACAAATGTGCTTTCTGTAAAAAGGCAGACCAGGGATGTAATGTTTTTAATGTTTCAGAAGCCTAACTTTTTACACAGCAATTACATTCACACTTCACTAATGTTGCTATTTGGCTGATGGTTGTGCAGGTTTCTGAAATACACATTTAGTGTATTGAAATACAAGACAGCTTAAGGGCTGCTTGGTTAGCATCTCATCTTGCATTCTGATTAATTGGCAAGAAAGGGAGATTTCAAAATTATAATATTTCTTGATGGTATCTTTTCAATTAATGTATCTGTAAAAGTTTCTTTGTAAATACTATGTGTTCTGGTGTGTCTTAAAATTCCAAACAAAATGATCCCTGCATTTCCTGAAGATGTTTAGTGAGAGTCTGGTAAGCGAAGGAGTCTGAAAAATAGGAAATGCAGACATAGGTTTTGTCTGGTTGCATATAATCTTTGCTCTTTTTAAGCTCTGTGAGCTCTGAAATATATTTTTGGGTTACTTCAGTGTGTTTGACAAGACAGCTTGATATTTCTATCAAACAAATGACTTTCATATTGCAACAATCTTTGTAAGAACCACTCAAATAAAAGTCTCTTAAAAAGGCCACAGGAAATCTTCATTTTTCAAATGTTTTGAAGTTACCAAAATTTGAGAATAGAGTATTACCCTCTTTTAGTTGTGATTCAGTACTTGCCACTTTGGGGAAAAATGTGCCATGTCTGTGGAAACTTGTCCTCATGTTGCCCCCATGACTTCCTTTATGCCATTATAGTCTAGTCCTGTGTATTTTAGAATAATTTATCAAAACTAAGGAGTTTACCAAAAGGAAAAGCAAACAGATAGCCATGCCCAACCTGGGCATTCTTGGTCTCTTGCATTATCTGGGTATAATTGCGAAGAAAAACTTTACCATTTAAAATACATATTTAACAAAATGGCTTAATTTCAACCTGTTTCCCAAAATGATTTAGCTCCATATATTAATGTAGTAAGCGATTTTGAGCTTTCATACTAGTTGGGAAGCAAGCAACACCATTTATACTCAATTCTTCAACTTTTTGTATCTTGGTCAAATCTTGAGTAGGCAGTGGTGCTCCTAAATTTACCTTCAAATACTGATTTCCTTGCCTCATTTGTTTACCTTTTTGGTTGTTAGCATTGAAGCACAAGTTTTATAAGCTTATTCAGATAGTTTTATTTGGAGAGGTTGAGGTTGGGGGGCATCAGAATTTCATAGCAATCATTTTGTTTGACATTTATCCTGTTGTTCTAGTGATTTAATTTGAATGAAAACTCTCAAGGTTCAGTTTCTTTTTCTTTTTGCAATGGAGTCTTGTTCTTTGGCTCAGGTTGGCTTTCAGTAGTGTGATCTTGGCTCCACCTCCCAGATTCAAGCAATTCTCCCAGCTCAGCTTCATGAATAGCTAGGACCCAGATGCACACCACCGTGCCCAGCTAATTTTTGTATTTTTAGTAGAGACGATGTTATGCTCTGTTAGCATGGCTGGTCTCAAGCTGACCTTAGGTGATACGCCCACCTCAGCCTCCCAAAGTGCTGGAATTACAGGCATGAACCACCGCACCTAGCCTCAATTTATTTTTCGATACCAGACTGCATGTTCTTTGGGGCAGCGATATTCTGTCTATACTTTTTTTTTCCCCCAAAGTTATAATTTTTTTCCCCTTTTACTAAGCCCTCCTAACAAATTTGTCATGTCATTGCTTTCCAGGGAGCTGGGCCAGCAAACATGGCCATTAGTAGTTTCTCATCTAGTATTAAAAATTGGGTGGCTAAAATTTAGCCACTACCACGGAATGAAATTTGCTGTGTAGATAACTTATATTCAGAGGAAATGTGGTTGGAGGACTATATATGGAGCTAAATCAATTTGGGAAACCAGTTTGAGGTTAAGCCATTTTGTTAAATATGCATTGTAAATGTGTCTTGAATAGTGTTGCACATGGAAAACAGCTCATTCTCAGTGAAACTGTTAATGTGCATGCGGTCAGTTCCTGAGTCTGCATCCCACTGGTTCGAAAATCTGTAGCTAATCTTACAGTGTCCTTAATTTCCTCCTTCATGTCAGTGTTCCAAAGTGTTCATCTAGTTTCTTCTATCTGTATAACAATGTGAAAGTTCTGTTTAAGAAATACTTAATGGGCAGTGCAGGTTAGTAACTCCAACAAGGTCTGTGTGGCCTAGGCCGGTGAGATGGACAACTGCCTCACTACAGAAGCTTCTTACCAAACTAGTTTGCAGAGGGTAAGCTATATAGTTTAGATTGATGATTAGTTAGAAAATCATTTGGAATTTAGCCAGTTGAGAAGATACAGAAGTGGTTAATGTTTCTAATTTGTTTCATAGTGGATATTTTGCTTTATCTGATAAAGCTAATAGGTATTTCTAATAGCCCATCGAGCTGGGCTCAATGCCTCATACCTGTAATCCCAGCACTTTGGGAAGCTGAGGCAGGTGGATCACAAGGTCAAGAGTTGGAGACCAACCTGGCCAACGTGGTGAAACCTTGTCTCACTAAGAATACAAAAATTAGCAGGGCATGGTGGCACATGACTAATCGCAGCTTCTCTGGAGACTTAACACAAGGAGAATTGCTTGAACCCAGGAGGCGGAGGTTGCAGTGAGCCTAGGTCGTGCCACTGCACTCCAGCCTGGGTGACAGAGCAAGACTCTGTCTTGGAAAAACAAAAACTCAGGATGAATAATGCTTTGGAAATAATGTAATGTGTGACCTTGAGGAAATTTAGGCTTATAAGTCCATTTTTTGAAAGTTTTTCTCCTTCAAAATGGTGACTGTATCAACAAGCACAGAGTTTACTGAGTAATTAGTTGACGAGTATCTATGGAAAGTACTAGACACTCCCAGGTTTTCCAATTTGGGATTAAGAGTGCCAGACCTTATGAAAGAGACCCTAACCCTAGTCATTACAAAGCTGGATAATAGGCTGAGAGAATAAAATGCCTTTAAGAGAGGGACACTGAGACTACTCAAAGACTTTCTTTTATTAGTACATGGGCTGGGACTGATGGGAAAGGATGGATGTAGTGGGCAACCATGGTTAGCATCGGATACCCATCCCGATGGCCATGAATGTGCCAAAAGTGCCGCCACTCTGCATCATGGTTTTCCCAATGCCGCCCATCAGCTCCCGACCTCGCATTCCGATCCTGAGGAGAAAACCAAGATGGGGCTATTTGATAAAAATACCGGAAGGAGTATTAACTACCCCTTTCCAATTTTGCTTATACTAGTTTAGCAATCCCTGCATCTCATTTTCCACTTACGAAATATTATCTCTTACTACCTGGGGTTGGTAATGAAAAGGAAAAAGATCCAACTGGGTCTCCAGGGCATTCTTCAGGAATATTAATTGCCTTCAGTTTGTGGGAGGCAGCAGATGCAGTGTAAAATACATAGAGAAACCAGCTTTTAGGACTGGTTTTGCCTGCAGGTTAAATGTGACCCAATAAAGACATTTGTCTTTTAGACAGTTTTTTGGTGTTAATGATTGTGGAGTAAGGTTGGGGTTCAAGAGTCAGCTCTTTAATTTACACGTTATGTCAAGTGTAAAATGAGCATCTCCACATTATTTACAGGATTGTTTTGAAAGCTACAGCATTTGGCACAGTGTTTAACATATAGTAAATGTTCATAAATGGCAATTTACAATGTGGAGATATGGCAATAACAGCCTCTAAATGTAAAAATGACCTTCAGAGTGTAAATTTTATTTGCTTTATTTCTGTGTCCTTGTATCCAGAATAGTAAAACTGCTCAACAAGTTTTTCCCATGCGCAATTGGAAATAAAAATGACAGCAACAGTACTAACCAGTTACTGAGCACTTAATATGTGCCAGATGCTGTGCAAAGTGTGCTGATCGAATTTTTAGACCTCATTAAGGTGGGTGCTACTGTCTTCATTCTACATTAGAGGAAACCCAGTCTCCAACTTGCCTAAAGTCACCGAATCAGTAAAAGAAGGGCGAGAAAACATTTTGACTCTAAAGCTCAAATTGACACTTCCACAACCTGACCTTCCAAATTTAAGGTAGTTTTGTAAAGAGCCTGGCTTAGCAAGGGGACAGCGAGGGAAGTGGAAAGAAGGAGCCTCTCCGTTCAGGCTCCAGGCCGAATGGGGAAGGGCCGGAAGGTCTGGTTGCCCTGCCCAGAGATCACCGCCCGCGCCTCTCACCTGAGACAGGAAAAGGTGCCGAAGAGCGCCCCGGCCGCCATGCCCACGGCGCAACCCATCACGAAGCCCATCTTGACGCGGTCGAAGCAGCTTGGCTGGGACTGTCCGTAGGGACCCACGGCCACCGGCATCTGCGGGGTGAGGGGGATAGGAAAGTGTGGGCCCAGGCGCCAGCCCGAGAGTCGGGCGGGGACAGAGGCGGGAGGCTGGGAAGTGGGCCCAAGTGCTCAGGGAAAGTCTGGGAAGGAAATTCAGCGCGTAGCCTGACTCCACCACCCTCCTCCGTTCCGGACGCGCGTCGCCCGGCGCATACCTCACCTCGCTCGCGGCCTCGGTCGCTTAGCTCTACGTCTGTCACGGAAAACGACGGGGAGGGCGCTAGCGGCCCGATGAATCGTTTCCGGAGCGCGCAGCAGCACTTCCGGGAGCCTGGGACCCAGGACTGCAGCCGCGTCGGGTGGTGGGCTCTGCCAGCGGGATCATGCTGCTCCGGGCCGCTTGGAGGCGGGCGGCAGTGGCGGTGACGGCGGCTACAGGGCCGAAGGCTGCGGCGCCCACTCGGGGGCTGCGCCTGCGCGGTACGCTTGGGTCCTGCTTGCCTGGAGGCGCGAACCTGTCCCCCGCCCTGCGCGGCGACGCAACTGAATATTCCGGAGCCTTCCTATCCACTCTACTGCCAAACCCTCTGACCCTTTCTCTCAAACTTTCTTTCAAACGACACATCCCTCAGACTTTCTCAGGAGGGTCCCCGAACGGTTGACCCCGGCGCACCACCCCTCGCACCCTGCGTGACAGGGCCCCAGAGCCGTGGAGGCGCGTCCTTCAGACCGCTCCTGGCCAAGTTACAGATGCTGCTCCGGGCTTCCATGCAGACCTTACCTTCGGAAGGGACTGCACCTATTCTGGCTCCCCGTTCCTTCTAAATGGCTTTGCCCTTTAGAGCCCTCCTCACTCCCTACGAGACCATTCGAATATCACCCCAACATCCCCTCCAGGAAGCCTCTCTCCCTCTTCTTTACCTCCTTTTACAGCGAGCGTCTCAGGTCTCTGGTGTTGTTTTCTTTCCATTGAGATTCGACCCCAGCATCCCTTACACTTACCTCCAGCCAGAGTTTTTCTTCTGCCCTTTGGATGCCATGCTTTCATAGTTGCATTCGGTCTTACTTGGCCACTCCTTTCCATTTTTTTCAGTAAGAGACCTTGCTCCTCAGTCTGCTGTTCCTGCAGATACAGCTGCTGTCCCAGAGGCGGGGCCAGTGCTGCGACCTCTCTATATGGATGTACAAGCTACTACTCCTTTGGTAAGGATGGAGCCTTCCCCAAGGCTGCTTATAGGAAGTAAATGATGGGTGTTACCACGCAAGGAAATGCCTGGATCGCTGGAGAAGTGAGAGCCATGAACGTGTGCTGGAAAAAACACCGAGCCAGGAGTCGGAAGGCTTAAATTCGAGGCCACTGGCAGTGGCTTTACTGCTCACCAGCAGTTGACCTTGGTCTAATAACATCAGCACAGGCTCTATAGTAGTCGTTAAAAGCATGGGCTCTGGAATGAGCAGAACTGTCATTAGTAACTGTGTGAACTTGGACTAGTATTAAATGGGTTAAAAGACTAATGCAAGTTTTCACCAATGTGTGACAAGGGGTAAGTTTGCCTAGGCCCTGTCCTGTCCCAGACCTTTATAGATCACATTGCCTGGCAGGAATGGAAACACCAGCAGAAACAGGTGTCAGAATCAGGCAGTGTTTGTAGACTACCCGAGGGGATGGCAGAACAATCCGAGTTGGGATGGGTTGAGTGGGAGTGTATTAGGTTGATATTTTGTGAGTGCTTTTGTGGGAACAAAAGAATGTTTGAGGCCTCCTCTAGGCAGTGCCTGAGGGGTTGAGAGTGTCTTGAGGCAGGGTGGGCAGGTCTGAGGGGTGGAGTGGGACCTGAATTGATGATGGGCTCAAGGAAACTGATCTGTTCTGTTGTGCTCAGGACCCCCGGGTGCTTGATGCCATGCTCCCTTACCTAGTCAACTACTATGGGAACCCACACTCCCGGACACATGCATATGGCTGGGAGAGTGAGGCAGCCATGGAACGTGCTCGCCAGGTTAGTACACGGGAGCCTAGGAGGTTCTGAGGTCAGAAAGGGGCAGTGGCCTGTGGAAGGCATTTCTTTCTTGGTAGGTCTGTGTGGAGGTAGAAATGGTTTTGGATTCTTTCTGGAAGAGATTCAGAGAGCAGCCTTGGAGTTGGACTGACTGCAGGCATTTCATTAGTTCCCATATTTCCTGGCAAAATGACTTGGGCAAGTCATCTAATTTCTCTAAGCTTTATTTTCCTCACCTTTAAAATGGAGATTGCAATAGTTTCTACTCTGTAGGGTTATTAGGTGAATTAAATAAAACAATGCTGGTAAAGTGTTTATTAACACAACAGTTGTGAGAAGTACTATAAGTAGTAAGAGCTCAGTAGTTCATTTTTGTTTGTTTGTTTGAAATGGAGTTTTCACTCTTGTTGCCCAGGCTGGAGTGTAGTAGCACAATCTTGGCTCACTGAAACCTCAGCCTCCTGGGTTCAAATGATCCTCATGCCTCAGCCTCCCAGGTAGCTGGGATTACAGGCACACACCACCATGCCTGCTTAATGTTTTTGTTTGTTTATTTATTTATTATTTTTTGAGACAGAATTTTGCTCTTGTTGCCCAGACTGGAATGCAATGGCACCATCTCAGCTCACCACAACCTGCGCTTCCTGGGTTCAAGCAAGCCTCCTCTGTCAGTCTCCCAAGTAGCTGGGATTACAGGCATGTGCCACCATGCCTGGCTAATTTTGTATTTTTAGTAGAGATAGGGTTTCTCCATGTTGGTCAGGCTGCTCTTGAACTCCTAATCTCAGGTGAGCCACCCACCTCAGCCTCCCAAAGTGCTGGGATTATAGGCATGAGCCACCATGCCCAGTCTGAATATGTCCCCTTTTAAATCAGGAAATGAAAGATCTGCTTGAGAGGTTAATTTACTTGTCCAAGGTCACACAGTGTTGGAGCAGCTGGCTACACAAATTAAGGGGTCTCATTTTGAATCTGTTTTTGCCCTCAATCATTAGACTGTTAAGAGACTTCAGTACCATTTTCGCTTTGAAGACTTCTTTCCAACTTTGGGAAAACTCCACCCGGCTCAAAAAGAGACTGGATCTGAGATATAACTAGAATCTGATTCTAGTAGCTTCTTCCAGGGCAATTTGGTAGAATACAGTGGAGCTCTTCTTGCTCCAGGGCTATCTGACCTATGTCTGCCCTCTATTTCTGCTGGGGTACTGACGTTATATATCTCTGTTTCTTGGCTTGCAGCAAGTAGCCTCACTGATTGGAGCGGATCCTCGAGAGATCATTTTTACTAGTGGTGCTACTGAATCCAACAACATAGCAATTAAGGTAAGAGAAGTGAACCAGAGGGCATATCTGGGCATTTCTGACCTGGGAGATAGTGTCCCTCCGTCATTTGGATTCGTATATGTATTTCCTAGCCACCCATCACCACCCTGTTGTGAAGAGAAGGCTTACACTATTTCTGATTTGTTGCTTCCCTTAACTCTTTACAGTCTACTCTTTCTTAAGTATTTACTCCTATTGGCCTTGAGTTGAGTGAGGTGGTTGGATAGCAGAGGAGGTGGCCCTCAGGCCATTAAGCAGTGGGTATTTTTTTGTCTGGCAGTTACTTCAGATAGTGGATAATGGTGATTGAACCTTTTCTCTTTTCTTTTATCTTGTAACAATGAGTTATGTGTGTGATTTTAGGGCTGTCCTCCTCTCAGCCTTCCTTTTTCTTTCAGATCAGATTTGTTTGCAGCAAGTTCCTCCTGTTTCTTTAGATGTCTCCATTTTGAAGTGCTTGTCTTTGTGGTGCCCTCTGCAGGTATTCACATGGTCACCTGTTATGGGTATCAGTCATTTTATACTTCATACATAAAAAATCTTTGGTGCTAATGGAAGCAAAATGCTACTTTTAGTAGTTACTGTTAAAAACAGTGCTTTGAATGAAGAGACCCCCCCAAACAGGCTTTGTGTGAGCAATACGGCTGTTTATTCACCTGGGTGCAGGTGGGCTGAGGCTGAAAAGGGCATCAGCGAAGGGCAGTGGGATAGGAGTTGGTTTTATAGGTTTGGGGTGGGCCGTGGAAAGTTACAGAGTAAGATCAGTTACAGTGGTAGGGGTAGGGGCGAGGAGTATACATTACTATAAGTTCAGTTACATTGGCGGGTGGGATAAGAGTAGTTATCTTACTTACAAGGTTGGGGGTTAGGGGGCTTGGCGTAGCTCCACAGGGCGATCAGGGGTGATCAGCCGAGGTAGGCAGAACTTTAGACTTTCTGGGTCCAGGCTTGCACATGGAGGCCTGACAGTCATGTTGGTGATTCATAGAACATAATCACATTTCACTGGGCCTGGTTGCCAGGAGTACTTGAGTAAATGCCAAGGCTTGGAGAAACTGTGGCTTGCTGTAGGTTGAACTCTGGCTCTACTCACTCTCATCTTTGACTCTGAACTGTGCTGCTAGCATTGGTTTCTTTGACCTTGGCCTGAATGTAGGAGTCCTAGGATAAGCTCCAGAGTCATCAGCACTCTGCCTGATCATGTTAGCAGGAAGGCATCCTTCCTCGGGACTGCAGGGACCAGAGAGTCAGGGTGAAGGTCCCTCCAAAGGTGCAGATTTCTGAAATGGAGAGTATTTTCAAAACTGTGAAAATATTTGCTTTGGAAGTCTCCAGAGATTCCATACTTACAGAATCACTAAGAGTAGCTGTGATAGTGTTTCTTTTAATCACCATAATGCATCTAGTAAAATAATCTGTAAGTTATTAAAGAAATCTACATCATGGGTAACTGAGATAAAATAAGATGGGTGGGTGGTGAAATACCATTTAAATTAAATTTTTATAAACAACTGTAACATTTTGAACTACCCTCACCATCCCCAACCATTTTTACATTCCTGATGTAAATATTTTTGGGGATAAAATAGAGTATAAGTCAATTATAAATGTTTTTCTTTTGTGTTCCTTATCCTTGTGAACAGACTGTTTTTACATAGTTATAATTTTGGCCTATATGGCTTAATATTCTGCTTTGTTTTATTTATCTATTTTTTATAAGGCAGAGTCTCATGAGGGCCCAGTGGTTCACACCTGTAATCCCAAGCACTTTGGGAGGCCGAGGCGGGTGCATCACCTGAGGTCAGGAGTTTGAGACCAGCCTAACCTACATGGCGAAACCTGTCTCTACTAAAAATACAAAAATTAGCCAGCCATGGTGGTAGGCGCCTGTAATCCCAGCTACTCGGGAGGCTGAGGCAGGAGTATTGCTTGAACCTGGGAGGTGGAGGTTGCAGTGAGGTAAGCCGAGATCACACAGTTGCACTCCAGCCTGGGTGACAGAGTGAGACTCCATCACACACACACACAA